GAAGGTATGAAAATTTGTTGCTAAAATGTGTCGCTGCTGGTAAAATAAATGAATTAAAGAACTACTGTACTCGCCGGCTAAAATATGACCTTATACAGATATCCTGATTAAAAAACTATGTGAAAAAGTACGAATTCTGGAATAAACAACAAAGTTGTAAAAAAATACATAACATTGACGATGTCAAATCATGTACTGATCACGTGACAATGCTTTGCCCACACCCGCAATGCGCCTTTGCCAGGGAAGGAGACCAATTCACACCTAATACAATGACCGTTTCTAGACCGGGGATAGAGGGACTGTGATTTAACAATAGATGCTTTTAACAATGGTGTTAAATTGACCTCAGTTCACTGGCCAAAGTCGCCAGACATATTTCACATGTTTCTATTGTTGCATTAGTACAATAACATGGAAGTCGCACAGATTTTGATTGCGCAAAGTAATGTTTTGATTAGGGATCAACCATTTCGTAAGTGAGGTAGGTCGAGAAGATTTTTGAAAAAAAAAATGAACAAAATGTTAAGGGAATTGTGATTGGGGAGGAAACTTTCAAGTTGTCACGTAACTGGAAGGAGATCATCTCAGATCCATCACTACAATAGATAAGTGTTCTTTTCGTATATGTAACGTTGTAGGGATCAATAAAGCACTGCTAACTGTCCCTCAACCTTCTCCTTGAAAGAATTTGCTATAGCCCAGAAACACTCCGATTTATTAGAACAGTTACCAGACACAATAGATATTAAAAGAAACAAAGAAATTCAGAATAGCTAAGCAAAGCAAGCTAAGTGATTTCTTTAGTAGGAAATGAGTCTCAAACTGCTGCTGAACATGAACTTTACTGTACAAATCTTCAAACATTTAATTTTCTTACTACTCATTATTGTGCAATGATCGATTTTTGTGAAATGATTTTAGTTTACATAATACAATTTAAAACCAACATTTTTTATTTGTAATAAAGTGTTTGGATACTGTGTACAGTAGTGTAATAGTGCGTGTCAAATGGGGTTGCAAGATCTGTTTTAATACATTGATTCAGTGCCTAATTAATATTCATGAATAAATTAGTGAACCTGTACAGAAAGGCCACCTGTCTATAAAGGCCAAAATTTCAAAGTCCCTTGGGTGGCCGCTATAGACAGGTTTGACTGTAAAAAAAATATTCTTTTTTATTTTTACGGCATAAATACTGCTTTAAAAATATTGGGCTACCAGGGATTGATCTTGGGCTACCAGATTTAAAAAGTAGTAGCCCAGATGGACTACCAGAAAAAAAAGTTAATTTCGAGCCCTGAATGACCATGCCCACTTTTGCAAAACCACGCTTAAATTGTAATTTGATGTTCAATTAACAATCTGGGCAATTTACATTTCATTTTTTGTTGTTGAACATCCACATTTAGTAACTCAACTTTAATTAACATTTAAACAGACAATTCAGCATCTCATCAAATTAGTATAGTTCAAAAAGACAATAAACTTGATACAGTCAAACCTGTCTATAAAGGACAGTCAGTGGACTGAGCCAAACTGTCCTTTATAGACAGGTGGTCTTTATACGGAGGTGGCCTAATTTATTCATTCAATCATGAATATTAATTAGGGCGGGAAAACATAAAAACAAACCTACACATTGTACAATGAATAGGTCTTTTTTAATAAAAATCACTCATTTTCATCTTTACTTTTTTACTACAAATTATATCATGTAAATTCACTGAAACCAAGTGATTATGCCCATGGATTCATTGGTGTATTCAATGCATAAGAACGATTGTCAACGATCGGCCGCATTGGCGTTTCAGCTCGGTCTTTCACACTCTTATCCCCCAGTCTCTTACACATATTCCATCACAGTCGGTAATCAGTCCCATCGTTAGTACTGTCAGTTGTACACTGTGACAAAATGCACAGGCAAAGTTGCCGTGTTTGAAAAAAACAAACAAACAAGCATTAAAAATGAAGAAGCATTGGTAATAAACAAAATTTACCAAACTCGTAACGATTGCTCCAACTCTCGGTGTTGAATTAGAAAGTCAAACGAACCGGAAATGAAACACGATGATTGTACACGCAATTTTACAGTTATTTGTTGCACAGTCCCTCTATCACGGGACTGTGTTTGTTGCAAGCATCGACGTGTCAAAACTGCCCAAACGAAACGAATTTTCTCGATTGCGAATTATTGATATTACCTTTTATAAAAAAAAAGGATCAAAATAGAAAACATCTTCTGTTGAGAATAACCCTGAGATGACCCCTCATAAGTAACAATACGTTTTGCCCATGCGCTAGCTTCATTAGCATAATTTATAACAATCAACAACAGACAACATGGCGCCCAAAATAGGTCGGATTTTGCAATCCCGCGATGAAAACGAAA